TAAAAGGACAAACTTCTTCCATAATGTCTACCTTGTTTTGTGTCTCTCCACTGTTCAAATCTTCTGGTTATATGTTACAAATTTTTGCATTCCAGAAAATGTTCCTTAGTACAGACACAATTTAAACTCTTTTTGCTTGTATCCTACCAGATGTAAAAAAGAAAATGGCATGCCAATACCTTTATCCTGTCTTCTCTTTTGTCTTCCTTTTCCTGACAAATCAGTGGTTAATGCAATGGAAAGCAGCTGCATGTCTTTTCCACAGTGTAATTCCTCACTTGTGCAAAAACATTCTTTCAGGAAGACAGTTGAGCCTTAAATTGTTGCTTACCATCCACACTAGAGTCATGCAAGCAATGCTACACCCATTTGGTTCTTCATATCTTCAATATCTTTGCTAAACACTTCTTCCTTCCCATTTACTTACAGTGCCTATAATGCCTCTTTTTGTTATTTTGTTTTGTTTTTGTTGTTATTGTTTTCAAGACAGAGTTTCTCTGTATATCCCTGGCTATCCTAAAACTCACTCTTGTAGACCAGGCTGGCCTTGAACTCAGATATGCACCTGCCTCTGCCTCCAGAGTATTGAGATTAAAGGCATGAACCACCACCACCCAGTTTATGCTTATATGAGAATTTTGAAAACAGCTGTGTTACAGCATTTGTAAATTAATTCCTACATCTGTGTTGTTCTGATATGGCCATATACTTATTTTTGTCTTTCTTTATGAAACATCAGATTCTTCATAATCTGAATAATTTTGATAATATCACAGACATTTTTTTAACATTGTACTAAAAATTTCTGAGTCAGGGCTGGAGAGATTGTTCAAGGGTACTTGCTGTCTTGCAGAGGACCTGAGTTTGGTTTCCAAGAGGCTCACAACCACCTGCAAATCCAATTTCAGGGGTTCTGACACCCTCTTCTGGTCTCCTCAGGTGCCTGCGTGCACCTGTTGCACTTATAGACAAGAATCTATACACACATACATGTAAGTGAAAATAATTTTAAAAAAAAGAATTTCTGAGTCTTGTTCAAATCCTACAGAGATTTTGATGTTATTGTTTTTACAGGTTGACCAACTTAGGCCTAGGCTGCAAGTTTCATCACACTTTCCATATATTTTAGATTCCCCAGATTTGCAGTACAATTAGAATCTGTCTTATGTGTGCCTCACTTAATAGTCACACTATAACCTGGGCATGAAGGTGTCTGTTACTTCTGCTGTCAGCATGTTTGGTACAGTAATTTGGATTAGATCAGTGTATATACAGCACAAGTACAAGCCCAAAAATTCACAAACAACTTCAAAGATCGTATTGAAAACGTTCCCCTTTGCAGTCGTTCTCTCTGAAGTCTTCCTCTCTGCAGTCTTTCTCTCTACAGTCCCCCTTCTCTCTGCAGTACCCTTTCTCTCTTAAGCCCTCCTCTCTGCAGTCTTTCTCTCTGTAATCTGTTTTCTCTCCACAGTCTTTCTCTTTGGTTACCCCCACTTTCAGTGTATTTTAAGTCAGAAGCCAAATGGCCAGAACACAGGTCAACAGCAACAGATTCAGTCCTTTGTTTGACTGAGCTGAGCCAAGAAGAAAATTTCTCTTCCTCAGATGTGGTCTCTACCCTCTGTACTGCTCGGGTTGATCAGTGGCTAGCACAGAAGGAAGTACAGAGGAGGCAAAATGAAGGATCTCTCCACATGGAGACCACAGCTCACTTTTAATTCTCCTTGTACAGAGATGAAGAGAAACTCTGGACCTCAGCTTTCTTGCCTGGTAGCCAGGCTTAGGCTTCAGGCTCCATGGAATTAGGTAACAGAGTATCTAGACAGGAAACCTGGTAGATGTGCTACCAGTTTACAAGAACATCTAATTCTGAAATTCTTTAATCTCCCCAACATTTACTCAGAATCTTCAAGAAAAGTCACCCTTCTAAATGCTCAGGTCTTGTCATAGGGCTATACTAAAGCAGCAAAGTGAAGTGTGTCAACTAGGTCTGTCCTAGAACCAGAATTATCCTACTAAAGATTTTAGAGGCCAGTTAATAAGAGCCTCCTGTGGGCTAGGAGCATACTGTGCTTTGCTTATATAATCTATATGTTGGAATAGTTATATATTGCAATCTACATTTTACATAGATGGAAACAGATGCTTAGAAAAGATTAAGTACTTTACCAGTGGTTACCTGACTAGAAGCAAGACTCATAAAACCTTTATAAATCATGCAGCAATGGATCCAGACCACCTGCACCCCAATCTAGTACAGCATTTATTAAGGTTGAAGTTTCCTGTGCCCTACCTCAAACACACCAAAGTCAAACCTTTGAGAATGTATCAGAGGTTCTATACATATTGAAGTTGAAAAACAATGCATTCTGTACCCAGTGAAGGAAAGCATCAGTCTAAGTGACTATAAAGAGCATGTCAATATACTTCAAATAGAAATAGTCATGTTGGCATCAATCAGTTTAAAATAGCTTACATATGCTCACTTTCCCTGCTCTTCTGCATCATGTTAAGGAACATAAAATAGAAATTGTCATAAACCAAGGTTCACTTTATATATAGCAATATATTTCTGACCCCAAGCCTTGAATTTTTGTTCTGACTCTGTCCCCTGAAAACAAGAACTAATAGGGCTCCTCCTCAAAACGTGTTAATCAGCCAGTATATCAAATTCTGCTTTCCCATCCATTCATCACTGACAGTTGCCACCTCCCTTCCTAGGAGGCAGAGTTGCTGTGACTTTCCTAAAGAATCTGACTTAGGCTCACTTTTGTCAGGCCAGTTTGCATGAGCCCATCCATAACAGGTAAGTGTAAATGAAATAGAATGGGAAATTTGTTGTTTATGTATTACTGGTAAGAAAAGAGGAGTTGTATTCAAGTAGAAATACAAAAGTTTTTTTTAATTGGATGAAAAGAAGGGTAGTATAAGTTTATACGTGATGACATAATTACAAACATTAGAAAAGTCTACCAAAATTCAGTGTTCACTCAGCAACTCCAGCAAATGACCTACATAACACTGAAATCCTCCACACATTTCCTCCAAGGTCCCAGAATTTTTACAGGCACTGCTTTGATGGCTCATTGCAGGGATTATCATTCCTAACTCACATATGGGAAAATCAAAGTCAAGATGCCATTATCTAAGGCCCTATGACAGTCTCCCTTTGGAAGCAATGTGCAAGCATATCATAACAGTAAGTCATATTTTAGTACTGAAATGTGTGGCAAATATTCTGCTTGGAAATAAGCCTTTTCCAAAAAGTGTTCTTATAGAGACTTAAGAAGATGTTTAAGCATTTCAAAGTAAACAGCAGTAATGAATCAAAAATTAAAAAACCAAAACAATGAAGAACATGTCAACTTGGGGAAAGAGGGGGAGGGAGAGGGAGAGAAACAGACAGAGAGAGAGGCTCTAAACATATGGCACAGAAGGCAAATCTGTACTTGTTTAGAGTACAGAGCTGCAGTTTCCATCTCTTGTTGAGTACGTAAATGACTTCACAGGCAACAGTTTCCGTATGTTTCATACTTTTAAAGCTGACCATTTGTAATAAAGATCCTTTGATCCCAGATCAAATGTTTGAATCAATTTTCTCTTCACTCCCTGAGTCACTATTATAAAAGCTTCCCTCCTTCCCGCCTCAGCTGTGCCAGCCCTTCCTGTAGTCGGAACCATCTCCACTTGCCACCTTTTCTACCGTGCTTCCCACCTCTTTGCTGCCATTTTTAGCTCTGCTTGTTAACCTCTCACACAAAAGAGGCACCATAATAAATAATTCTTGTGCATAGTTAGCTAACTACTATAATGAAAACGGTTCCTCTGAGGAGTTCAGGAATCCTTAATAAGACAGAAAGCTTATGGTCACACATTTGGTAAAAAATCTAATTCTCTCAGTCAGGAAAAAGGTTTTGATAGGTGAAAGCTTTGTCTATACACCAGAAAAAAATAAAAACAAACATATTTTAACTAGCTTATATTTCTTGGATTTAAACTAGTGAAAGTGAAGTGATGCTATGAAATTTTCAAGATTCTGTACTTTATTTTTAAAATGGTTTTAAAACAGAAGATCTAAAATCAAGGTAAAAGACGAAAACATTAAAAATTGTCTAGGCAATGCAGAAAATTTCACAGATTCCTAACCTAAATTGGTCCAAGTATTTCAAGGCTTTCTCTTAGGCCTTCCTGAAAATAAATATTTCTACTATAACTCCAGTTTCTAAAATATTTAGGTATGAATTTCACAGAAAGCTATTTTAAACAAAGGTAACTGAAAAAAAAGCCTTAAAATTTCTAACAGAATATAAAGTTAATTTATAAATACTTCACTTATATTTGGGCCTGATTAAATATGATATAGAAGAAAGGGAGGAATTGAGGGGGTAGAGAGAAAAGGAGAAAATTTCCAGGACTTAAAATTGAAAAGAGTATATATTTATATTATATATACATATATATATACATTATATATGCATGTATATATGTATATTCAAAGAAAAAGAGGCTACCAATTTGAGAGGGATTCAGAACGGCACATAAGATGAGTTAGAGAAAGAAAGGGGCAATGATATAATTATATTTTAATTAAAATTTAAAATTTTTAATTGAGAAAATTTTAAGTTATAATTTCTCATTTAAACATTCAAACTAGATACTACACCAAAAAAAAAACAATAACAACAAAAGCAACAACAAAAATTCTCCAGAACTCACAAGGTGGAAGGATACCTAAACATGCATACCTTAGTATGTACACATAGGTAAGCATATAAAATGCAAAAAAGAAGAATGAAAGGAAGGAAGGACAGAAACAGATGAAAGGGGAGTGTGTTTCAGACCAGTGACTCACCATTTGTATCAAGTGGTGTACTTTCAGGTGCTAACACAGGAAACTGAAGTAGCTAGGAATACTGTCAGGCAAAATTGAACTCTCCCTCAGTTTTTATAAAATGAACAGCTGAACCTGCCATCCACCAATTCTGATAATTATGAATTACCTTGCATACAACAGCAAACTGTTGGTTATTTCCTGCTCCAATTACAAGATAGCCGTCCTTGGTTTTAAAAGCCTTTAAAAGAGACAACAAATAAACATGTAAGTGTATGTTTGTACATAGATAAAACCAGAAAATTAGCTTAAATTCCTGATGATTCTATATTGAAAGCTTAATATACTTAGATGTTATTCATCAATTCAATAGCAACCTAGTACATATAATTCATCTTACAACTGCATTTTTTTATTTAAGACTTTTGAACTGCTTCCCAGCTCTTTAGTAACTTCTATAACATGGGAAAAGGTGACAAAAAATTTAAGAAAATGCTAGGCTAATGTTTCATAACTCAAAATTCTACAATCATTGCACTGTAGACTGATTTTTGATATTTCTTGTAGAACTTTGTATGGCAAAAAGTACTATTATCTATAAAGAGTAAGAAGAATAGATGTAGAAAAAGAAGAGTGAAACTCTTGGGTATGTCTACTTTCTCCCAGAGGGCCTTCCTTTCTCTTTACCCTTGTGTTTAAAATATATTCTGAAGTATTTTTAATAAACTTCAACTCAGCTTCAGACTTAACTCTTTCTGCATCAAAGGCAAAGAAAGATTCAGTTTTACATGAGTCAAGACTCCTAAAGATTAAGGGCTCTTTTTAGACTGATGAGGCCAACAGCTTTGAGCTGTGCCTCCATCTCCCAACTGATTAAAAAGAGGCTGGAGAGATGGCACAGTGGATAAAAGCACTGGCTGCTATTCCAGAGGACCTTGGTTCAATTTCCAGCATCCACATGGCAGCTAACAGCTGTCTATAACTCCAAGATCTGATATCCTCACACAGACACACATGCAGGCAAAATACCAATGTACTTTAAGTAATTTTTTTGGTTTCTCTGTGTAACATCCCTGGCTGTCCTGGAACTCACTCTGTAGAACATGCTGGCCTTGAACTCATGGAGATCTGACTGCCTCTGTCTCCCAAGTGCTGTGATTAAAGGTGTGCGCCACCACCATCCAGCTAATAAACTAATTTTTTAAAGGTTTGTACCACAACATGCCAAAAAAAGAAGAAAGGGAGGGAGGGGAGGGAGGGAGGGAAGGAGGAAGTGGGGGAGGGAGGGAGGGGAGGAAAAGGAAGCAGGGAAGGAAGCAAGCAAGGGAGGAATATGATCACACCAGATTAAAAGGACTGGGGTTAAGATTTTGAGGTATCTTAATAACTATTCCCTATTAATATTTCCAAGTACTCATGAAATAAATAAATTTTAGATAAGAACATTTTTAAAAAACTGAGTCAGCAACACAGAAAACTGGGCAAAGAGAGACTATGACAAGAGATAAATAAATTACCTCTATACTTTACAATACTATAACCCAAAGAGACAGCTGCTCACAGAACTCTTCTTTCTGTTCCCAAATGCACATTTACAAAACTAATATCGTATTACATTGCTACTGTTCTTTCTAATATCCTTTCACAAGAATATTAAAATGTCATACTTTTTATTTAAATTAGAAACAAGATTGTTTTACGTGTCAATCCCCTTCCCTCTCCGTCCCCTCCTCCTCTCTCCCCGCTAACACCCTACCTATCCAACACCATTTCTACTCACCTGCGAGAGTGTGGCCTTCCATGGGGGGGGGTCTTCAGAGTCTGTCATATCCTTTGGGATAGGGCATAGGCCCTCTCCCTTCTGTCTAGGCTGAGAGAGTATCCCTTTATGTGAAATGGGATCCCAAAGTCCATTCCTATGCTAGGGATAAGTATTGATCTACTACAAGAAGCCCCATAGATTTCGAAGGCCTCCTCACTGACACCCACATTTATGGGAGTCTGGATCAGTTCCATGCTGGTTTCCCAGTGATCAGTCTGGGGTCCAAGAGATCCCTCTTGTTCAAGTCAGCTGTTTCTGTGGGTTTCACTAGCTTGGTCTTGACCCCTTTGCTCATCACTCCTCCGTCTCTGCAACTTGATTCCAATTCAGTTCAGTTTTTAGCTGTGGGTATCTGCTTCTATTTCCATCAGCTGCTCTGCGATGGTATATAAGTTAGTCATCAATCTCCTTATCAGGGGAGGGCATTTAAGGTAGCCTCTCCACTTTTGCTTAGATGGTTAGTTGGTATCATCCTTGTAGGTCTCTGAACATTTATTTCCCTACTGCCTGATTTCACTTTAAACCTATACTCCCACTTTGATGGTATCTCTTATTTTGCTTTCCTCTATTCTTCCCCTATACAAACTTCCTGCTTCCTTATGTCCTCCTCACCCCTCCTCTTCTCCACTTCTCATTCTTCTAGTTCCCTCTCCACTCCCCCCATGCTCCCAATTTGCTCAGGAGAACTTGTACCTTTCCCTTCTCCAGGGAACCGTGTATGTCTATTTTAGAATCCTCCTTGTTGCCTAGTTTCTCTGGTGGTGTGGATTACAAGCTAGTAATCCTCTGCTCTATGTGTAAAATCCATATATGAGTGAGTACATACCATGTTTGTCTTTTTGTGACTGGGTTACCTCACTCAGAATGGTTTCTTCTAGTTCCATCCATTTGCCTGAGAATTTCAATATTCCATTTTTTTTTACAGCTGAAGTCCTCCATTGTGTAAATGTGCCACATTTTCTCTATCCATTCTTCAGGTGAGGGGCATCTAGGTTGCCTCCAGGTCCTAACTATTAAATAATGCTGCTATGAACATAGTTGAACAGATGTCCTTGTTGTATGAATGTTCTTCTTTTGGGTATATGCCTAAGAGTGGAATTGCTGGATCTTATAGTAGGTTGATTCCCATTTTCCTGAAGAATTGCCATACTGATTTCCAAAGTGGCTTGAATGAGCTGGCACTCCCACCAGCAGTGGAGGGGTGGTCCCCTTTCTCTACATCCTGTCCAGCATAAACTGTCATTGGTGTTTTTTTTTTTTATTTTTATTTTAGCCGTATCGCAGAGTAAGATGATATCTCAGAGTTGTTTTGATTAGCATTTCCCTGATGGCTAAGGATGTTGAACACTTTCATATGTGTCTTTCAGCCATATTATATTCCTCTGATGAGAATTCCCTATCTAGTTTTGTACCCCACTTTTTAATTGGATTATTAGGTGTTTTGGAAACTAGTTTCTTGAGTTCTTTGTAAATTTTGGAGATCAGTCCTCTGTCGGATATGGGGTTGGTGAATATCTGTTCCCAATCTGTGGGCTGCCATTTTGTCTTTCTGACTGTGTCCTTTGCCTTACAGAAGTTTCTCAGTTTCAGGAGGTCCCATTTATTAATTGTTGATCTCAGTATCTGTGCTACAGGTGTAATGTTCAGGAAGATGTCTCCTGTGCCAATTTGTTCAAGGGTACTTCCCACTTTGTCTTCTAATAGGTTCAGTGTGGCTGGTTTATGTTGAGATCCATTTGGACTTAAGTTTGTGCATGGAAATAGACATGCATCTATCTGCAGTCTTCTACATGCCAGCATCCAGTTATGCCAGCACTATGCTTTCTTTATTCCATTGTATATCTTTAGTTTCTTTGTCAAAAATCAGGTGTTCATAAAAATGTCATAATTTAATAACCAAAATATATATCCAAATTTCAATTTCACATTCTGTTTATTTAACTGTAAGATGTCTTTTGTTTCATTTTATTAGTTTTAAGGTAAGTATTACTATGTAATTTTAAATTTAATTTACAGTGAAACTAACAAAATGTCTAATCTAATTAAATTCTTTAAAATATATCCTTAACAAATACACTAAACTAGATAATTAAATCCTAGATCTATTTTACTTAACCTATACAGTATCAGGCATGTGACATAATTTTAAATGCTCAGTTTATAATTCTATAAAATAAATTGGTACTTACCTTTAAAATTATTCTAATGATTAAGTTTTTAGGGTACATTTATTCATCTATCTAACATAATACACTGTCTCTCCAGACACTGGGTATGGTGGGTAAAAAACAATAACAAGTGACCCTTCACATAAGACTTACATTGTAATAAAGTAGCAGCAGATATCAACCAAATATTGATGCAAATAATGGCACACCAAATGCATATAGAGCATAATGAGATCTTACAATAGATAGTCCTAATAATGTTTGAGTTTAGGGATAAGAAGCAGGAAAAAAAACACTCCCTTAGAAAATGCTTTCTGAGCTGAGAACTAAGAATTCATATGTATGCACCAAATAGAGTTGGGGGAAGTAGATTGTTAATGAAGGAAAGAACAATGAGTTTGGGAGAAGCAATAACCCACAAAAAGAGAGAGAATAGCACAAGTGAAGCTGCAGAAGATAAAAGAGAGAGTTGAAGGTCATAGGAAATATATTATGTACCATAAAGCTGAGGGGAAGTCCCTAAAAGGACTGGACTGATCATGCCTGTATTTCAGAAAGACCTTTCTTTCTTCAGTGCAACCACTGGTTAGAGAGATAAGATTAGAACTGAAGAAGCTGATTAAGAGACTGTTGTAATGATCATGACAAACGATAGACTAAGAGCCAAGTGAGTAGAGACAGAAGGTAATGGGGGTCAATGAATAATTAAGTGGGGGAAGCTAGTGGAATTGGTAATAGACTGAGTATGATGGTTACAAACTGCAGGCTAAAGGAAAGGAAGATGCAATAGGAGACAGTGATACTTATGAGAACTTTGTGAGATTCCCCAGAGCAAATTTCACAAGTGGGAACCAGATTAAAATCTAAACTACAGCTAAAATCTTGGTAATAATTTGCTCATAATGCATAACTAAAGAAATGGCATGAGTGAAATCATTTAGCAAGAAATGGAGCAGAGTGAGGACTAACAAATGCCACTGGGGCAACATTTTATACTCTCAGAAAGAACTTCTCCAATGGCTCAAGAAAGCAGTATGAAGTCAGTCAAGGATGAAGCAGTGCTGGGAGATGTGGGGTAAACATATGCAAACCACATCAGCAAAGTCTGGCACAGGTGTGGATGAAGACATGACTCCTACATACAGAGGATGGGAGGCACCAAAAAAGTTCCCAGTGCTTCTACTTTCTCATGTAATAGCAGTGATTTGGACTTGTTTAGGGCATATGAGACAAGATGAGAAAGAATTCCAC